AACTTTATCATTTTATATTATTTCTAAAATACACACCAAGCATATTTTTCACTGTACAAAATTGTCTTTTTACAAATTATATTATTAGTTTATAATTAAAACAAACAAATGAAGAAAAACCCCACTATCCAATACATGACTCATTAACCTTTTACAATACATACAATATCTAGACTACCACCGGAGCAGTGAACACGTTAACAATTGCGAGCGCATTAGAACTCATTTTCACCATCCCCTAAAGCCCAGTTTACCTCCCAGCCTCAAACTAAAGCCAAATCTCCCGTTTACAACCTAATTTGTCCCTATCATCCACAGGTGCAGAAGCCAGGAGTCTAGCATCCACAATAACCGTGTCACTCCTGCGTGGCCTTTCCTCATGGACAGCCCTTTTCCGGTCGGCTTGAGCTGAGAGACGGATTCTTTCTAGGACTCTGGCAGACAGGCCAAACGGACGGCCAGAGGAAAGAGGAGGACTAAAAGAGCGATTACACAAAGCGCGAAGAGGAGAACAGGCGTCTTTGTGGAGTGCGAGACATGAAAGGCGTTTGATACATCAAGTTGCGCAGGGGGAAAATCTCGGCAGCTTGTTCCTGCCACTGTGCCGGGGACAGCGGGGGTGCATTGAAGCCCGCCGCAGCCATTAAAGGTTGAAATGGGAAACGCCAGGGATAACAAAGCCCTGATTTTGACAGCTTTTTTGGAGCATAAGATCCACTGATGTGTGAAATGCAAGCAATGTGCCTTTTGAACAAGAAGGGGTTTGTTGCCTGAGCTCTGGACACTGGGTGGGAGCGAAGAGGAGGAGTGCGTGTGTGTGTGTGTGTGTGTGTGTGTGTCAGGGGTCTAAACCAGGACAGGTTGTTTTCCAGTCTCTGTCTCTCCTAGCAAAGCATGGAAGAGAATAAAGCTGATATATTTAGGTGTGTGGAGAACAATCCGATCTTCAAGATTCACATTTGCAGCAGACACATTCTTACAAACAAAACAGAAAAAACATTGTGGAATTATAAAGTGTGCTTCACACAGGTGAGTGGGCTTGACAAACCACCTGTATAAACACTTCTCAATTAAAATCACTAAGTTCCTTTGTATAATTAGTTGGGTTGGGTACAGAAACCAGGAGTAACTGGACCGAATCAGCATATGACGAACCATCTTTAAACATTTAATTCTAAACAACTTGATGTCTGTCACACCGAAAGTGGCAAGAGCATCAAAATAAGGCAAGGCAAGTTTATTTATATAGCACATTTCATACAAAGTGGAAATTCAAAGTGCTTTCCATAAACAAGAATAAAAAAAGATAAGTATAAGAAAATAAAAACAAACAATAAAATTATTAAAAACAGATAAAAACATTAAAATGTGCTAAAACAGGTTATAAAAGAATAAAGAAAAGAAAGACATAATAGTGCAATCTGTCGGATGTAACACAGTGCTCATTCAGTAAAGGCACAGCTAAACAGATGTGCTTTCAGTCTTGATTTGAATCTGCCTCATGTTGGAGCACATCTGATCATTTCTGGAAGCTGATTCCAGCAGCGAGGGGCGTAGTGGCTGAAAGCTGATTCACCCTGCTTTGACTGAACTCTTGGAATTTCTAGTTTATATGATCCTAAAGATCTGAGTGATCTGTTGGGCTTGTATTCAGTGAGCATATCTGTAATGTATTGAGCTTCTTGGGCATTTAGCGATTTATAGACCAGTAATAATACTTTAAAATCTGCTCTGAATGTAACTGGAAGCCAGTGTAAAGACCTGAGGACAGGTGTGATGTGCTCTGATTTTCTGGTTCTGGTCAGAATCCTGGCCGCAGCATTCTGGATGAGCTGTAAATGTCTGACTGTCTTTTTGGGAAGGCCAGTGAGAAGGCCGTTACAGTAATCCACCCTGCTGCTGATAAAAGCATGAACAAGTTTCTCTAAGTCTTCACTGGAAACAAAGCATCTAATTCTTGCAATGTTTTTGAGATAATAGTATGCTGATTTACTGACTGCTTTGACATGACTATTGAAACTCAGATCTGACTCCAGAGTTGCACCAAGATTCTTGACCTTATTTTTTGTTGTTGAGCCAAGGTACGCATTCACCTTGAGAACCTTATACCTGTTCCCAAACGCAATGACTATGGTTTTCCATTTGTTTAACTGAAAAATGTTTTGGCACATCAAATTGTTAATTTCATCAATGCATTGGCACAGGGTGTCAATGGGGCTATAGTCATTAGGCAGTAAGGCTAAGTAGATCTGAGTGTCATCAGCATAGCTGTGGTAGGAAATTTGGTTCTCTCATTATTTAGCTCAGAGGAAGTAGCTGCAAGTCATTCATTTTCAATGGGAGCTGGTGGCGACAAGCGTCGAGGAGCAGTACGGCACGTCTTCGCCGGTGTGGCCGTAGTGGATAGCTATGATCCATTTCAGTGGCAAGCAATCAGAGTGTAGAAGTCCACCGCTTGAGAGGAGTTCAGAGAACACGGTCACTGCGAACTTTGGTTCTAACCACATTTGTTCCCAAGATTTTGATTATTGCGGTGGCCAGATTTCCAATTATTTGCAATGTTTTCTTACAGGAACATACACTGAAAAAAAGTTACTGGCGAGTTACTGATGTGCTTTAACGTAATGCATCTTTAAAAAAATTTTTTTTTAAAAAGCGGGAATCTCATGCAACAATAAAAACAGTATTGCTGAAACTCAGGAAATCCATATAGCAGTCGCTTAATAAAGAGAAGATTGAACTGCTTTCACAGCTGTCATTAAATCACAGAATGCTTATCTTTGGTCTCACAATAGCTTGATTATACATGCAATTTTGCATAGCTTATCAGTGTACAACGTAGTAAACGCTACCCCATTCACAAGTATGGAAATTTACTAGTAATTACAAAACCGGCTTTAAAATGGCAATAATATTGCAAGAAATGCAAAATTTCCTAGGGAGAACACCTTCAAAAGTATTTTTTCAACATCTGAAATTTGGTTCTAAAATTAACATCATTAATAGCTCAGTAAAATTATGCAAACACAAACCTTATCTGCAACGCTGCCTGGCACCACGGTTCTGACCACCATCCCTGTCGTCTTTCCACCGACAATCCCAAATCCCAGACCGGATCCATCATTCACCAGCTCGATCTCCTCCACGTGTCCCCACTGATCCTGCAAAAGACACACACGGGGGACCGTTTTCAATCCCTTGACTTGTCTTGTACATATAGAGGTCAGCGAGCGTCAGCTATATTTTACTTTGAGCCACAAAACTGTCTACTTAAAGAATAAAGATCCATTCAATCACCTTTGATTGTCCAAATAGGGAGCGATTGACGACCCAAGACCTGTGACTACAGAGTGGTAATAGGCCAGGGAATGCTAATGAACAAGTTAACGGTGTGATCCTGCAGCGGCTGATCAATGTCCGGGTCAGGAAAGCCCACGAGAGTCTTTGTGATCTCACGTCAGCCACGCTTTCTAATCGCCCAAGTCTCCTTGGGCTCATATAAATGACCCACAATCAGTACATTTCTGTTCTCTTATTACCTGGCCGTTATCTGCCGGGTGACTACCTCTGCAATTTTCTCACTATCTAATGAAACCCCTCCTCTGTCGTTCGCCTTGTCGCTCTTTCGAAACAAAGCTTTACACTAGTGCTCATCCCGCTGTGAGGAGAAAAGAACCATTTCGGAGATAAGAAGTCCCTTCCTGAGAGTGCAAAGAAACGCTTGATTCTTTTTTTTATTTCTTTTTTTAACAAGGCTTATACTTGGGTCCAAATTCTACTCTATTTAGTTCAGTAAGGAGTAATTTTGAGGTAAGAAGAAAGAAAACAAAACTGATCCTATTTGCTTAAACATTTCTGGTCTTATTGTCAATGATGCACATTAGTAAGGGGAAACAAAAAAGTATCATTCATTAATATCAGATATTATGAAGCACTTTATATGATTTTTAATAATTTACACACACACACTTACACACACACACACACACACATATATACACACACACACACACACTCTATATACACACACACACACACACACACACACACACACACACACACATTTATATACACACATACTGTATATGCACACACACACACACATTCATACACACACACACACACACATACATATATACACACACACACACATATACATATATATATATACACACACACATATATATATATATATATATATATATATATATATATATATATATATATATGTATATGTATATATATATATGTATATGTATATATATATATATATATATATATATATATGTATGTATGTATATGTATATGTATATATATATATTTATATATATATATATGTATATGTATATGTATATATATGTCTATGTATATGTATATATATATGTATATGTATGTATATATATATATATATATATATATATATATATATATATATATATATA